CAATCACTAATAGTGTTATAATGGGTTATAAGGTCTGGAGGGGTGCCAGAGCACCGGTACATACCGTGTCCCACTTCGCCATCATCCTCTCCTTCTCGAATTTGGCGAATTCTCTTCTGTCGTGAATAGTTGTCAAGAGTTTCCAAATGAGAAGAAGTGCTAAACCGATGAGAACGATGCCGACGATGACGCCGATAACGATGGCCAAGACATCGACGGGTTCGGGACAGTCCTTGGTGTTCTGGGCGATCACTAAAATGATATCCTCCGTCTCATCGTACTTGTATTTGAATTGGAATTTGCAGTCATCGTCATCGATGAAGACACACAACTGTTCCCCTTCTGTCACCTCGAACTCAGAGGTTCCGATCGGGTTTATGGTGCACTGATTGCACGCGTCCGCGTCCTCGGATAAGGGCCCGCTCTGATGGATTCGGCACTGAACGCACTCTTTGTATATTTCGCACTGAGATTTACATGTGGGGCAGTCCTCGCAGTACTGTCCCGTGTATTGTTCGTCACCTTTGGCCTCACACTGGCATTGACCGCATTTACAATTCCCTCTGTTATTGCACTCCTTGTTAGTGCGGGGGTCGACACAGTCCTCGTTGGACTTCTTGCAACTACAGTCGGCTTTGGTCCACTCATCGTTGCACAGACAGGTGCCGCACTCGCACTTGCCGTGATCCGGACCACTGCACACTTTGCCGTCATTTCGATCGCAACTAAAGTTATCGCATTCGCAGTACTTTCCGGTCACCTCTTCGGGCGCTTCACGTTTATAACACTCGCATTCACCACATCTGCAGTCAAAGACAAATCATTCAATAAATTATATCAAATCTACAAATGAGACAAAACAGTGATGACTGACCTGCAGACGCCCCTTCCTGAACACACTTTGGTGTCATTGCCGTGAATACACGACTGTTCCTCTTCGGCGGGATTCGCTTCCTTGGCGTCGCACTCACAGCGCCGGCCGTAGAAGTTGTCATTACACGAGCAAATGCCGCTCTTCCTGAACACACTTTGGTGTCATTGCCGTGAATACACGACTGTTCCTCTTCGGCGGGATTCGCTTCCTTGGCGTCGCACTCACAGCGCCGGCCGTAGAAGTTGTCATTACACGAGCAAATGCCGCACTCGTAGGTACCCCTGCGCTCGCAATAGGGACTGTAGGGCTGTTCATTCCACGGCTTCTCACAATCGCATTCACATATCATTTCCAAATCGATGATCAGAGCGTCGTTCAGACCGACCGGATATATGAGTATTGTTTGGTTCCACTCGTTTCGGTTGCGCGGACACGAAGTCACCTCAATCTTGGCCTCAAACGTCACTGAATTGCCCACTCGTAGGCCCCGACATATCTTTGTCTCCTCCTTCTTCTGGCTAAGACACGACGAATAGTACGTAATCTTCACGTTATCCGTGGCGTTGTCTTTGAGCTCAACAGCGGAAGTGATTTTCAAGTACTCGTCCTGAATGAGAGTCACTATATTTGACGAATCGTTTTCCAGTTTACCGGCAGTCGAGCCCTCAATCAGTGGGCTCTGTCCCTCAGCTAACTGTCTATAGATATCATACTGATTGGATGTGACGGCAAATATGACATTCACGTGATGTTCTTTGACTTTATGGTTGATTTGACTGATGGACGGATAGTCTTGAGTTGTGCTCTCAGTGTAGAGACCGGATCTGTCCAAATGACAGTCGCCATCATTAGGCTTAACAATTCCGCCTAACTTTCCGTCTCCGGCGTAATGAAAGCCCGAATCCGTCGAAAAGACTAACATTTTTCTCGACTTTTCTCTCCAACCGATTTCATTCTTACAGACAATTGCTTGCATTATAGCATCAAACCCACCCTCAGGTGCGTCTAAGTTGCCTGATATCTGAGTGTCAGCCACTTTCCTAACAAAATCATTGGCATCGGTATCCAGTTTCATGTGATTCCTGAAACCATAGGGCGCCGCACATCCAGTGCAGGGCTCGTCGAGTCTATGAATAAAAAGAAAAACAATTCAATTATAGTCTGAATAGAGTTTGAATACAAAAACAATTCAATTATAGTCTGAATAGAGTTATAGTCTGATTATAGTCTGAATTATAGTTTGAATTATAGTTTGAATACAAACACAATGTATACTCACTTCTCGCGAACAGTACTGACGTAAGGCATGACAACCTTATCGACGAAAGAGCCGAAACCCAACCGGAAATTGGATGTAATTGTCCTCATATTAACGGCCAATTGATTGCCGAGTTGTGCCAACTTCTCCTTATCGTCTTCCATGGACTTCGAGAGATCCATCAAATAATAGAGATCTACGGGATAGTCGAGCGCCTGCTTGAACTGTACGTGCACACTGTATGGCAGGTTAGGCCTGATCTTCAAGTGAACCCTTTGTGGCCTCAATTGGATGGGATCGCTGTCCTCTGATGTCTTATTAGAGAGGTCTTCGTTGAGGAGTGGAGTGAATGAAGGCGTCGGATAGAATATCTGATCGAAACATCCCTGGTCTGAGAGCCGGTGTACGAAGTCGCACCGGTGGTAACTGAAATTACCTCGCTTCATACACCACCCGCACTGGGGGTTCGCTGTTATACAGTCACTACACGTCTCTTTGGAAGTGCAGGGATTGCTATTTAAGTCATCGTTTTTTACTGTTATTAACGATAATAATAAGTAAAGTATTAGTCAATTATTGACAGACAAAAGATTTTACGGAAATTACTGATAATTTCCGTAAAAATAGGATAACAGGAATTTCCTATTGTTTTGTTGATAAGTAATTATAGACTTACTTTGAGATACTGTGGCAGTGATTAATTATTGACAGACAAAAGATTTTACGGAAATTACTGATAATTTCCGTAAAAATAGGATAACAGGAATTTCCTATTGTTTTGTTGATAAGTAATTATAGACTTACTTTGAGATACTGTGGCAGTGATTAAGTATAACAATATGACTAATGTATAAAATTTATTCATTTTCGCCTATAATTTGTTGTCTAATTATTGATTACTAATTAATGTTCAATTTCCATGTAATCGTAAGTCTGGATTAAAAATAAATGTTTTTCCAAAATAGGAATCAAATTTCCTGCAAAATAAATAAACAGATATAAGTTTTTAATTAAAAAAAATTTTTTAATTATATTATTTAATAATGTTTTTAAGAGTATTTAATATGAATGTAATTCAGTGCACAAGTAATTCACCGGAAGTTTGATTGAGTTAAGTCTATGAAAGAGTTGCCAAAAGCCAATCAACAGTTTATGGGCACAGAGTCTCTAACACTTGAGTTGGAGTTCTTGTTTTGGTAGTTATGATCATAATTTGCATAACTTTTAGATTAAACTTCTTTTTCTATGGTTTTATGAGTTTCTCTAAATGCTTAACACTTTGACGGATATGAGTGTATAGTATACTGAAGTGTATTATAGATTGAAAAACAAATATAATTCAAAAGTAATTTGTATTTTTGAAGTCCAATCAAATGGATTCAAAGGAAGCCTTTTATGAGTGTTTAGTCTAAGACTAAGAAACTATTTGAAGACAAGTCCTATTGAAACACATTTTTGACAAAATTTTCAAACAAACCATAAACTGAGTTATAAATTGTATGGACTCGCAGTTGGGGTGAAAGATGAGGGCTCAGGGATGAGGGGATGGATGGAGGGGACGGCTGTTGTGAGGGTTAAGGTTAGAGACAATTTGAGACATACTGTTCACCCAAATGAAGGGCCAATGAGACCACAATCTGATTGTCCCTCAAATCTATACAACACTTCCGTCTGGACTATTGGCGCAACTGTTTTGTACGGCTTTTCACATCACTTTGGATACAAATATAGTGTATATAAAGGAGGAGACTGTGAATGAGTGCCAAAAATATGATTTCATTTTGAGTTCAATTCAAACAGATTTTAAAAATAGTCTTTTATTCGTGACCTAAAGAATTAGGTTTTAAGTTGTATTCATACAAAACATACAATTTTACGGTATATTTGAGTTTATATAAGGCTTTATTGGTTTTACACATAATTAATAGCAAAATCAAATATCGCTCAAAAGGCTCATTAAATAAATGAATTTAATGAAACTATAAATACATTGGTGATTCAGTATTTGCGAGAAAAATGTAAATTCACTCAATTATTGCTAAACTTATAGACATTTGTAACGCTATATGAATGGCAAGACTAATATGTAGCCATTCATACAAATCCGTGCTTTTCATAAGTTTTATACAAATTGCTATTAAAAGTTAATTTCTACTTCTTATGAGGGTTTAGATAATTGAATACAAAGCCGTCGATTGTTTTCTTTATTTACCAGTAATTTGATATATCTTTGATTAATGGCTAATAAATGTATTTAATATATAAATGATAACAAAATAGTTGTTAAAATAGCGCTAAAACTATGGAAACCTCACACTATTTGAATGCATTGAATAGCTTTCACTGACAGGTATTGTGTTTATTATAATTATGTCAACATTTGGTTGTAATAAAACTTATTTAACAATAATTTGCCGAAAATCCATACGAAAGCAATTAATAACAAGCACAATATTATCTAAAATTAAATATTCAACTCATATAAAGGGGTCTTTGAATGGGAAATATGAGATAAAACTTACCAAACATTAAATGTGAGATTCAATTGAAATGTTTAGGAGTTTATGGCTTTTTGATGAACAGATGTTTAAAACATTACTAATTATAGTGAAAAGACAATAGTTTTAGTCACAAAACTCATGCCCATTGATAGTCCCCACTATTAATAAGCGATATATGCGGTGAAAGTAATTATAAAAGTAATACAATTAATAAAAATTAAATAAATTGTAAATCGGATCCCATTTGTGGGATTGCATTGAAATGTGTGTTAAATGTTTTGTCGGAAAGCAGTTGAGAGTCAAGTAATGGATATTTACTTTGATTTTAAGGCGAACCCAAACACAGCCTCTAAAACAGGCCTTACTTTATATGGACTTTATATGGAGTGAGTGTTCACTACTTCACCACCAATTCAGTGGTGGATGTGTTGAGCACTGCTTCATGAAATCCACAGAAGATGGAAGTGAGAGCAGATGTACCTCATCTCCAGACACATCAATATACTGTACATCCCATCCCTTTCCCATTCACAGCTATTTTCTCAATGATTTCAACATTCATTTCAATCATATGTTATTTTACGCCAAGAGTATACAAACCATAGGAATTCCTACCACTGAATACAGTATCCCTTTGGACCAAAGCATAATCTACATTACAGTAACACAGTATCCAACATAATATCACAAATTCATTAAATAATATAAACACATATTTATTGGATTTCAATGATATTGGATTCAATATTTAGTCCAATGCTGAACATATCGATAATATTGAATAAATTTTATCATTTCATTGCTATTAAAAGAGTTGTTTCATTGAGTGACATATCACTGGTTATGTTACTGTTATGAGAAAATATATTTTATTACACTTTCAATTCAAGCCATTCATAAATCTCAAGACATTTAAAATGACTGATTCATCGGTGGACTTAAGTGGTAAGTCGTCCACAGGTAAAGACATTTGAAATTCATATAAATTTACGGTTGACTTACGAATAATGGATAGCAATGCGAAAGCCTTACAGCACTGAACGGGAGGTACTTCTGGAGGATAATCTGGAGTCGAAGAATCCGTTCAAACTGTTCCATCACTGGTTCGAAGGCATCAAGAATTGTGGCAAAGTTTATGAACCAAACGCTGTCTGTTTGGCCACAAGTGATGTGTAAACTATGAAACACTTATCTTTTTATTATAACTTATATTATATTGGTTATCAAAATCTCGACAATTATATCATGTGTTGTATAACTCATACATCTCTTAGAAACGGTCGGCCGTCCGCTCGTATGGTTCTGTTGAAGGCTTATGGGAGGGAAGGCTTCACTATATTTACAAACTATGAGAGTCGGAAGGGACAGGAAATGGTGATTAACTCTTATGATAACTCTTATCAGTTTTCTTATGTATTGTTTTCACAATTGAATTCTCCGTAAAAGATTGAAAACCCAAAGGCATCACTACTTTTCTATTGGGATGTCTTTAACAGACAGGTGCGCATTGAGGGCCGGGTAGAGAAGGTGTCCGAAGCCGAATCGGTTGAGTACTTCGGGTGTAGGCCTCGCGGGAGTCAGTTGTCGGCGCGAATCAGTCAACAGAGTCGACCCGTTGAAAGTCGCGATACACTCGTTGAGCGATACAAACAGGAAGAGCGAACATTTCCAAAAGATGTGCCAAAACCTCACTTTTGGGGCGGTTTCAGAATAATTCCCGACGTTTTCGAGTTCTGGTGCGGACAGACAGACAGACTACACGATAGGATCAGATTCTTTAGGCCAGAATCGAGTGATAGAGTAGACGGAAAGGTGTCTAAAATGGGCGAAGAGGGCTGGGCTTATGAGAGACTTCAGCCATAGTTGTCAACATGTCATTTACGGTGACATCCAGGACATTTATGAATGAATTCATTCCAAATATATTAGCAAATAAACTGTCTTCCATTGATTTGTTAGAAAAAGTCAAAAATATTTATGGCTTTTATTATAATTTTAAGACAAATCTTATATTTTCCTTATATTTATAACAAATTCTTAATTAAACTTATGTTTTCATTAGTGTTTATCATTACGAATAATCATTAAAGTCAGGGAACATGTATTGCCACTTAATATCACCCGTTTGTGGATTGCCTCCGGAGTTCGAGTCTTCGTTCGAGTCACTGTTGGGGAACCGAACGAACGCATCGGTGGCCGACTTATTGGTCACTCGCTGTCGGATGCGTTTGATTTGTTTTAGTCTTTGTACCCAATTTGAGACGTGTTGAGTAGTTGTGGCCGAAGGCGTCCCGTTGTATACCATCGATCCCAGCTATGGGTGCATACAAATCACAATTATAGTCACCGTTCATTCATTGATAGTCACCGTCATTCAAATAGACATACATTAGCGTGAAGTGCCAGCTGTCGCACAAATACCGGTAAAGCGTTGTCAGAAAGCATTTGTGACTCAATGTGTCCGATCAGATACAAAAAGTCTGTGCGAAATGTATGAAGAAATAGAGTCAAGTCATGCAAATATAACACTCGTATATCTATCAATACACACCATCTTTAGCCTGAATGGTAACCAAATTACTATTGTATTCAAAAGGAGTGATCACTACAATGGCTTGAATGCACTGTCCGTCGCCCTATAGTTCACAAGAGACAAACAGATCGTTAATTGCGATCCAATGCGAGCGAACCGTTGAGTGAATACCTTAATCGTGGATAAGTTGACGGAAGAGCCGCTCTCGTTGTAGACGATGCAGACGGAGTCGTTGCCGATGTGTCTCTTTTTGTTATTACAGTTGGGGTCGTTGTCTGAGGTGGGCATGAGAGTGGACACGTGGAAGATCACTTGCATGAGGTTGTCCTCCCAGGCGATGGCATACTTGCCGTCCTGTCCCTTGAGGTCGAGGCCGCCGACGTATGTGACCTGAGAGTCGGCGTCTTGCAAGCGAATCATTTTGCCCAAACCCCTTAAAAACTTAATGTAACGCAAAGAGCCGAAAGGGTTTGACAAAATGGCGGTCTTGTCCTTCTCCTGTCCCGGACCCACGTATAACACACCGATCTTATGCGTCTCGTATGGCGTGATTCTGTCCAATACTTTCAGAGACCGATCGATGGCCTCGTTTTTCGATAAAAGTATTGGTTTTGTTTTGTCATTAAATTCCACGTCTTTATGGCATTTGTCGTCAAACATGGAGTTGTAATAGAGCTGAAGGAATACAAACTTAGGGCACAAACCACTCGATTTGGGCATTGAATACGAAGACTCCACGTCTTTACTGAACCGTCGGTTTATGTTTACGGGACTCATCACAGATATGGTGTGCACTCTATCTCTGGGTCCGGACATGTTCTCGGCTTCATTGATGCGAAGCGGCACAGGAATGGGAGTCTTAGACTTAACCGGTTCGCGAGCATAGTTTCGCGACGAGAAGTCTATATTGGACTCCAAATCATTGCTTCGAAACTCTTTTTTATCCAAAAGTCTTGTCCTGAAGTCGGACCTAATTTTGCTGCCAAAGGACTGGGCTCTGGTCACCGGTTGGAAAGGACTGGTCCGCATGGGCTGAGTCGGCGGAGAGACTTCTATAGGCCTGAAAGTGAATGGCTTTTCCGCGCCGTTCATTGGATTCATAAAAGTTGGCGAACAATTCAAAGGGTTTGGAGATTTGTGATGATTAGAGGGGATGTCGTCCGTCTGGGGACTAGAATTGGCTCTTTTGAAGACCGAGTCGTTCTCTATATCGTTGACATCAAAACTGTTTCGATTGCTGTTGTATTCAATCTCTCGGCCGAACGACTCGTCCACCGATTGCTCGCGACTTTTGTTGGGCCTCAAGAGTGCCGTCAAATCAGGCAAATCGTCCGGCGGTGAAGAGGAATACGGAAAACTTCCCAATGAGTTCTGGAGTCGAATAATCCAAGAGCTCACACCAGTCGAGCGCCTCACCATAACCTCAGCCCATCCCTGACACCAACAGTTGCATAAAGCGGTTGTATTGGTGGGGAATGAGTTGGTTCTCTGGATGTTATAATTCAAATACGAGTCATCGAAGGCCGACGATTGAGGTTTAGTAGACTGCGGGCGTATAATGTGTCCGATCTCTGACTGATGCCGTCTTCGCACTAATTTGTCGCTGTCTGTAGAGTTGGTTGAATCAGATCTGGCCTTCAAGACAGGCAACGGCTGGAAAACATTAGTATTGGTATTATTGGTGGCGTTCGCAGGAATCTCTTCATTGGAGTAATTGTCTGAACTCTCGTTATTTCGACACATATTGAGACACTTATCGCAGAGACCGTTAGAGATAGCCCGAGAGCTGCAGCCACTGGTTGTGATGGTAACCAATTTGTGGCCAATAATCCAAGTCTCGCTTTTGGACCGATCGAGTAGTGGTTCAACCATTGGACTCTTGAACGGAATGGTAGAGCACATGCCGAATGTATAGGAGGCCAACATATCCATACAGGTCTCCACCAATTCATGCCTCACCTCTTGGCTCTCATTCTCAGAAATGGTGTTATTGTTCGGTTGCTGAGGAGAGTGTTGGGACAGTTGGTTGTGTTGGGAAATAGAGTCACTGCTAAAGGAAAATGAAAAGTGAGAGTGCGATGAGTGGGGCGTTGGAGTGAGAGGTGGAGGGGACGACTGCAACGATAGTCGCGCTTCCAATCTTTCATTTGGAACGGGATTTAAGACAACATTTACACACAAAAGGTGAAGAAAAAAAAAGAAAAAACAAATAAATATTAAATTCTACTTCTAATAACTTTTCATTAAACACAACAAATGAAACAATGTTAGAAAACGAGTGCTAACTTTTTGTGGGTTAGTGTTTGCTCTGTATTTAAAGAACTGCTTCTCGTTCGGGTTGAATCGGATGAGGGCTCGTCCACCATTACATTCGCCTGCAATCCCTTTAAAAGCAATTTAACACATTGTACTCATTGGTAACTATTACCGTAATAGTCAATCGTTTCTAGTATACTTTGATAATAAAGGGTACAATGGATTTCCTGCACGGGAGTCGACACTTGAGAAACCACATGGCAATCACTCTGTGCGCCAAAGCAACCGTATATTCGTTAAATCTGTTTTAGTTAAACAAATGGTTATAATATGATAGCACTTAGTTTCCAACAAAACCTACTTCATAGGGTTGGTGTATGGGAGGGCTATTGCAAACACACTCATGTACTGATCCATTGTAAAGCTCTGGTAGAGATGCGATAGAAGTATAACGTCTGGAATACAATGTTGGAAATTAATAGAGAATTCATGAGATGTTTGGATACAAGTAATTACTCGACAAGAACTCCAATTTGGGTATAGAAAGGGGAGTCGTGGCTGATATTTTGGAAAGGCTTAGCAGAGTGTCGGGTAAACACTTTGTCATCGCCTCTTGCATTTCGACCGCACATATAGTTAACGACAGAATGTTTTGCCGGACAACACTCGTCCGCCCAGAGACCAAAACCAAACCATTTTGAAGGTATTTGATAATTGAACACTAGTGGCAAGTAATACAATAAAGTATTAATACAGTAATAGATAAACAACTCTTTCGTATCAATTATGATTACTTGTTGTCTAAATTCGAGTTCATTTTGATATCCAACGAGGGCTGAGAGCGATGGATAAACATTTGACTGAAACTCTGCTTTTGTAAGCTTTTGGCCATTGGATTGAAATTCAGTCAATTTGGTCGAAGTCTCGTTAATCTATTGATGAATCAAATTGTGTGAAATTATGTGAAAATAAAGAGTATTTGAGTATAACATACGAGATAACAGAGAGCATTACACAACTCAATGGCGATGTGAGGACTTCCCGACAGAATAATCGCTTTATTTTTGAGAAATTTTGGCAACGTTTTGAGAACTATGCTTAAAACAGACCAATCCTTTTCATTTCTGAGACAAGTATTCAAAACTCTAAACATATCATTGAACGAAAGGGTCCACAAATTGGTTGAGTTTGTATTGACTGAATGAAGTATAGGACTCGGCGGCGGAGATAAGGGATTAGACGTTTGTGGAAGTGTTGTGGCGCTTACGACTGGAGAGGCGGCTGTACTGGCGTTGGGACTCAATTCATTGCGCTCGCAGACAATGAATAGGCTATACTTTGGAGTATTATCTGGTTTTGAGGGTTTGATTCGTTGATAAACACCGATCTGTCCCTTAGAGTTGGCCCGGATGTTCAGCAAGAGGTCGAATATCTGTTCAAATGTTTAATCGTTTTAATCATCAATATTTCTGTCATTTATAAACAAATACCGGATTATCGATGAGTTGTGAGTCGAAAGCTTTTTTTAAAAATAAATATACTTTACTCGTAAGCAATAGAAAAAAGCTTTCGACTCACAACTCATCGATAATCCGGTATTTGTTTAAAAACCAGAGATTTATCATTCATTTTGTCTGTCCATAAAACACTACCTCTTGCTTAACAGCTGAACCAATTTGTCCGATATTTGAATTATAGTCGGCATTACTATAGTGGACCGACAAATGACTTAATATTATTTTAAACGTCTGAATGGCTGTCGACCCCGGAAACGAAAATAATTTATTCTTAAATAGCAATATGAGTCCACGAATCGCTAATTTTATGTCAACCCCATCGCTATCATTGGGATTACTGGTTGTGTTACCGGCGCTCATTTGATTGCAATCATTAATATATATTCGTTTGCAGACCTAACAAACGAGATTATACCGTAAGCCTTAAAATATTACCAATATCTTTGAATGCCATACCCTATCGATAATCTCAAGAATTTCTAGACATCGTTTGGCACTATTGCTTTCGGTGACCACATCCAACAAAAATTGAACCGCTTTTATACGACACTCAATGTCCGGATCGTTTTCGATATGATTTAAATACGGAATTATAATCATCTCCAAAATAATCTCCTAAATTCAAATGAAAATGTTTGTGTATTAATAGTGAGAAACTTTGTAGTGAAATGTTAATTCTGTATTGCATTGTTAATACAGTATTGTATTCTTAATAATAAAATGTGTTGCAAATGTTCAAATTACTATAAATAAAATGTGATAATTATGTGGTCAATGGATCTCTTAGATCTATATCGAGTAAAAACCGAATATTAGGGCATTAAATATACAATGATATTAAACATTTAAACAAGTTCTAAGTTTATAAAAATATTTTTGTAATATTTTGTGTTAATAGTAGATATGTGAGTAGTTAGTTTTATTAAGTAAAAACCGAATATTAGGGCATTAAATATACAATGATATTAAACATTTAAACAAGTTCTAAGTTTATAAAAATATTTTTGTAATATTTTGTGTTAATAGTAGATATGTGAGTAGTTAGTTAGGTGTAGAATTAGATTTATAGGAAACACATATTTGAATGTGTGTACAAGATTTGCTCCAATGATTAACAAATGAATAAAATTGTTAATTTATATACAGTATTGCTTACAAATAAGTTATAATATCTGATTAAATGTTCTGAATCTAAGCTAACGCTGCAATTGGTGTCTGTCTAGACGTAAGGATATGTAAGAAAAATGCAATTTAGTAATCATTTCACTTAAAACACTTGACAATACTTCCAAATTATATCCATTTCTAAATTCCACCAAATACTACAACTTTCTATTAAAACTTTAATATTGTGTAAATCCATTCAAAAATAAAAACCAAATTTTAATAAACAAGTGTCTGATGTCGACAACCGAAAGATAGTTAGCATTATATGAGAGCATTGCTATCGACGGTTAAATAAAATATTTTATTATTCAACGAAATATAATACAAAGTAAATATGTTTATGAATGCAAGTGCTTATCAAATATATAAACAGTTAATAACTGAATGTCTATATTTTGAAGACAAACTCTTTTGACAGGAATTAAGAAAATAGAGAAAAATTTTGCCAAAACTCTCGCTTTTGGTTTCTTAGATAAACATAATTGCATTGAATTACAATAAACCTTAAAAGCAAACTATTGCATAGATTCTGAGTTTCCTTTGCAGTAATTATGTGTCAGGAATTTAGGGGAAATTTTTGTGCAAAAAATGAAAATAGCAAAATATTTACCAATTATTGCAAAATAAATACAGTAGTAAAATAAAACCTCATTTATGCCAATTATGGAGTTTTGCATGAAAACTTATTTTAAAAATAATAATACATACAAACTATAAATAACTCTTCAATCATCAAATCTAAAGTAAATAATTTGCATACAGTATAAGCATATTGTAAACATAACTGCATGAATTAATTTAAATGTATGATTAATGAACTCATATATTAACAACTGATAAATGAAAACTTATTTCAAATGTTCATAAATTATACTGTAGTTATGAATTAAAAGCATTATCGGTTAAATGCATAACAAATGACAATTTGCAGAATGTGTTTTGAACATACCATACCACGTATGATAATGTCTGTACAGTATTACACGATTGTATAATTCATTTAACAGAATCTAAAACAACTAATTACTGATACAGTAATGGCAAAGCAAATGAATGAGTGCTAACCTCATGGATATAACGGTATTGTTTCATGAATTCCGACAATACATTGAGTGCTTCCATGCGAATGAATGTCCGCTTCTCTCTCTTGTAATAGATTTCCATCAAATGTCTCAACGATTCAATCCAATTATCTTTGTCCGCATTGATAGAGTTAGCCCTGTATTGGATTAGACGTTTGCCCGACTGTTCCTAAATCACCACAAATTATACATTAAATGCACGAAATGAGTGGCAAAAGAAAGACTTACGGATCGAAAGAGCGCACACTTCTCGAGAATGTCGAAGAGTTTGTTGGGGTCGCCATAGAATCGCTTCTTATCATTCATTTCTTCCACGATATCCAAGAAGAGATGAAACTTCTGATTGAACTCGAGGTTAGAATTCTGGGCAGAGATCTCATAGTTGGAGACAATTTCGTCGGCGATTTCTAGCATCAGATCCCACGTCAGTTCACTCACTATATTCTGCTGGCTTTCGATCAAACATATCATAGATAACGAGACCTCCAGTGCCACCATTTGGTGCTTACACTGGAGGGCACCCTTAAAGGAGGGTAGTATTGAGTTGGGACTGTGTTTGAGGGCATCGACGCGCATCGGGTCCCATAAGGAACGGGTGACGAAAAGAATGGCTCCTCTCATGAGTAACATGTCTTCGTAATTGGTCTCGTCGTTCAATATATATCTCAGTGTTTCGATACAGGAATGGCCCAAATGTGTGGACATCAGGTTTCGCATGATCTTCATCGAAATGGTGGTAAACAACGAATTGTTCACTCCTTTGCACAAAACGATTACAAATTGAGTCAAACATATCGATGGAAGCAGAGAATGGCAGACAATAGCATCCATTATATGATAAGAGGCCGATATCTCTTCATTGGTGGTCACCCTTTGGATGTGATGACAGGTCTTATACGTAATGTCGGCCAATATTTTTTGATCCAAATATGAAGTATTGAATTCAATTAAATTAACCAAAAGTGTCAAAAACTCGGCACTAATTCTGGGGAAAGTAATCATAATCTTCTCAAACCAGTCGACCAGAAACGGACCGATTTTGTCCTTAAAACACTCGTAATTCTTGCCAGAGTCTGTCAGAGCCATCAACACATCCAGTCTGAGAGGTAGGTCTTCGTCGTGACTGTCTTTGCCGGAGACTATACTCCACAACAAAGTCCTCGAATCGGACGGTGCGCTCACTATATGTTTGTATAGCTTCCACACCGTATGTCTCACATCCGTGGGCTGGTTGTCGTCCAACAGGTCCAGCGTCTCGTTTACCACAAACTTATAGTCGACGATCCGTTGACAGCCGACCACTTCCTCCAACTCTCTGATGGTCTTGAGTCTGAAGGCGAGGCTCTCTCTGCGCCGCAAATCATTCTTCTGATCGCTCGTCAACTCGTACTCAACGACTGACTCCGGGATGTGTTTGACGACGAGTCCGAGGCTTGAGCTGTGCTGAAGTGGACAACCATTTTGGTGGTCCTGTTGCTGACAGTTAGCCGAAGAACAGGCGCCACTCGACTGCGATTGGGTTGCCGTAGACTTCAAGCCCAAGAACTTCTTAATACTGTCGCCCACTCCCGAAGACATGGCAATCGGTGGTCACCACGGCTTGAGACACACCGCACGCCACTTGTGGCCACTGTTTGACACAAAGAGTTTCGACCAAATGATGGCTCGTTTATGCCACAAAACACTGGATATTGATTTGAGTGACAAAATCATTGATTATATGACACATTGAATGCCATTTGTAATGCAATGGCCGCTAATTGCTATGCATTTGATAATCAATTAATAAAACTTTGCAAACATTTCCAATCAATTCGTATGAATGCAACACTTTGTGCCACATTTGTAGTGAATGTATGGACACATCGAGTGATGAAAACAATTAATTAAAACAAATATATTTTCAAAGAAAACACTATTAATAAAACATCAGTATATCCGATATGATGGTCACTAATGGGCACACATTTGCTTAGTATGTCATGTATTGGTGAGTGTAGTAGTCGTGCAATCAGTGGTCAAATGTGTGTATAGTTGTTGTGATCAGTAAATCATATGCCATTCAATTGACAATTAAGTGGTGAACACACAGACAAAGTCATACACAGAGTCTCATACACTGTCTCATAGAGTGTCTCATAGAGTGTCTCTCATTCACTCACTGCACACATACAGGCATTCACTCATTCACTGCAATCGTATGCAAAAGCAATAGTTGTGCACAAAATCAGCTGTTCTTTCATATGTGAAACACAAATTATGTTCACGTATTCACAGCATTTACAATAGCATTGGTATGATAGCAGGCAACTCATCCCTGCACCTCCACACAGCATATAAATGTCTATTTAATTCACTTTTCATTTAATTGAATCATATTTTATGAAATCACTTAAAAGTGTTGTAATCAGAGGACATGTATCATAAGGGGTTAGTCACACAATACTGACTCGAGTCACTTGAATTGCATGGAGACTCTCTCTATGACTAAATCTATAGACTCTTGAACTACAGTACAATATGCTATCAATTGTTTAGTGATATTCTTTAATTAGTTAACACATATGCTGTCAATTATCCTTTACTTTTACTCTGAATATAAGTTTCCATAGTTTCTAAATAGAGTCACTGCTAAAGGAAAATGAAAAGTGAGAGTGCGATGAGTGGGGCGTTGGAGTGAGAGGTGGAGGGGACGACTGCAACGATAGTCGCGCTTCCAATCTTTCATTTGGAACGGGATTTAACACAACATTTACACACAAAAGGTGAAGAAAAAAAAGAAAAAACAAATAAATATTAAATTCTACTTCTAATAACTTGAAATTAAACACAACAAATGAAACAATGTTAGAAAACGAGTGCTAACTTTTTGTGGGTTAGTGTTTGCTCTGTATTTAAAGAACTGCTTCTCGTTCGGGTTGAATCCGATGAGGGCTCGTCCACCATTACATTCGCCTGCAATCCCTTTAAAAGCAATTTAACACATTGTACTCATTGGTAACTATTACCGTAATAGTCAATCATTTCTAGTATACTTTGATAATAAAGGGTACAATCGATTTCCTGCACGGGAGTCGACACTTGAGAAACCACATGGCAATCACTCTGTGCGCCAAAGCAACCGTATATTCGTTAAATCTATTTTAGTTAAACAAATGGTTATAATATGATAGCACTTAGTTTCCAACAAAACCTACTTCATAGGGTTGGTGTATGGGAGGGCTATTGCAAACACACTCATGTACTGATCCATTGTAAAGCTCTGGTAGAGATGCGATAGAAGTATAACGTCTGGAATACAATGTTGGAAATTAATAGAGAATTCATGAGATGTTTGGATACAAGTAATTACTCGACAAGAACTCCAATTTGGGTATAGAAAGGGGAGTCGTGGCTGATATTTTGNCCAATTTGGGTATAGAAAGGGGAGTCGTGGCTGATATTTTGGAAAGGCTTAGCAGAGTGTCGGGTAAACACTTTGTCATCGCCTCTTGCATTTCGACCGCACATATAGTTAACGACAGAATGTTTTGTCGGACAACACTCGTCCTCCCAGAGACCAAAACCAAACCATTTTGAAGGTATTTGATAATTGAACACTAGTGGCAAGTAATACAATAGAGCATTAATACAGTAATAGATAAACAACTCTTTCGTATCAATTATGATTACTTGTTGTCTAAATTCAAGTTCATTTTGATATCCAACGAGGGCTGAGAGCGATGGATAAACATTTGACTGAAACTCTGCTTTTGTTAGCTTTTGGCCATTGGATTGAAATTCAGTCAATTTGGTCGAAGTCTCGTTAATCTATTGATGAATCAAATTGTGTGAAATTATGTGAAAATAAAGAGTATTTTCATATAACATACGAGATAACAGAGAGCATTACACAACTCAATGGCGATGTGAGGACTTCCCGACAGAATAATCGCTTTATTTTTGAGAAATTTTGGCAACGTTTTGAGAACTATGCTTAAAACAGACCA